TTTTTCTCCTTTTTGTAGATCTCCCAGTTTTCATGGTGCGACCATCAAAAGACCAATTCTGATGGACCACATTGTAAAACACTTCCAAAGCACAAATGTCATTGAAAGCAAAATTTGGTGAGAGCGTGTTAGTTCATGATTGGTGAGCAGATTCCAAAGTAACTGGTACTTACCCTGGTGAATTTACAGCTGATTTACTTGAATTGAGACTTTGGCTTTACGCATGTGTGCTTGGAGCAGACACAAGTTACTTGCAGGCTTCTACACTCTGTTAATCTATTTTAGAAGGAGAGAAAATAATCCACCATAAGCCAAGCATATCCTTGAATGTAGTACTGGAGAGCATAAAAATACTGCAGAAACGAGATGAAATAAGTGCCTGTGTAAAACAATTGAAGGGGCAGTCAGTCATCCTTCCATTAAGGTCAATGAGAGTGACCTGGCAATGAGAGGACCTGGGCAGTGGCAGTAGTAGTGCATCACCAAGGAGCAGAAGAACATTAGTCATTAGTAATATGAATCAATCCAATTGCTGGGAAAAGGATATTTTTAATACAGTTCCTGGTTTAACAAATTATGTGGTGTTTAAACAGATAGAAATGTGTGAAAAGACAAGTGTTACAGGCCAAGGCCCTTTGGCACCATGCAAGAACTGACAGCTATTCTAATTAATCTATACATATAATTAAAGGGCACTGTGTAATCCACACACTGCAAACTGAGCACGCTTACTTTTAAACAACAGTTTGGTTTATGCCAAAATGGCTGCTTACACAAGAAAATGTGATGACAGGCTCATGTTAGCTTGGCAGACTGTTCTGTGCACAGTCCTAGTGTTTAGAAGCTCGATCAGTATGACAGTACAATAGGTAACACAAGCATAATCCTTCTTTGACTCAATGGTCTGGAAAATAACTAGAAAAGTAAGATATCTCATTTTGTTTCTGTTGATATTAATGGCAAAAATCTTGAGAGCTGTTTCCCGTACATGCATTTGGTGCCAGTAACCCTACTTTTTTGATGACATTAGTTTAGAACTTTTGATTATTTTAAAGATATAATTTTATTCTGTAGCTGGGGGAAAAAAGTCTCTACTGTTATTCCCAAACAAATACAGTAAACATTTTTCACCAGTTTCTTCTCTTCACTGTAAAGTTTTAGGCAAAAGCCCACAAAATAATCTGGAGGATGAACTTTCTGTGAAACTGAAAATACTTTATAGTGGAAGGAGTATGGACAAATTCAGATTAAGTGTAAGGTACAGCTGTATTACATTATTGATAGAGTATACTTGTTCTATCTTTGATAAGCTCTTTAAAGAGGTCTTCCAAAAGCAATGAAGGGGAAAATACAATTTTTAATTTTTCATTAAGGAAGTCTGTTAATGTTCGGTTATGGTGGAACTGTTGAATATTGCCGTTAGCTAACCATATCATTTAACTATGCTGGGAGCAGATGCATCTAATCGCTTGGTTGCTCTTCTGTTTTGCTGAACAGGAACAAGATGACTTAAAATACTTATAAAGTTCTTATCTGCTTATTAATCCAATAGAAGGATATCAAGGGGGTGTGTTCAGAAAACTAAAAAGGTGGAAGGAGAACTACAGGTGGTATCAGCTGTGCTAGCCCTATTGAATGCGGTGGTTATGTACTGATAAATTGATATCTCTTAAAAAAATTCCTTTGGTATATTAGGAGTGCTATCTTTGATTATTTGTATTTGATTTGATTTTTAGGGTAATTTTTTGCTTTACTGCATGATTGCAACCTTTTGTGTTTCTCCTGGCATGGTTTTACAAGTAGTCTACTTTTGCTTTCGTTTGTTGTATCTTTTTAGTCTATTGTAAGCTGACAGTATATTTTAGCAATAATGTGAACTGTTTTGTGATGCAAGTGAAATCTGACTTTAAAAAAATAAAAATTTACTTTCAATGGAATTCATGTAATGGAATTAGTTTTTACAAAATTTATATGAAGTCTGCTTTAATTCTTGACAGTTATTACAAGGCTTTTCTGAACCCTACAGTCAAAAGGTAGGATACTTGTAGCCTACCTGATTACTGAGGTAGGCTCAGGTTACCCGAGTGCTTCACATCTGGATATAAACCTTCTTCTATTGGTATGTAAGTAAAAATATCCTCTTTATCATTATATGGAAGCAAATGAAGGCTCATTGCATTGTTCATTGGCACTGTGCTAAATACTTAGAATAAACGTCTATGTCCAAAAATATCTTGTTCCAGCCTTTGGTTAACATCAACATCTTCGACCATAAGTCAAAGCTGTGAAATGGTAGCCTGCTCTGCAGTTGTGTGTGGGTGTGCATGCTGGGAGTCCAGCTGCATTGCCAATGATGCACCTTGATAACTACTCCTGCAAAGGCTATTAGAGCATTTTTTTTAACTTTTGTTGGAAAGGGGAGATCTTCATCAGAAAATAGAAAGTGTATGGCCGTTGTTAAAGCATGTCTGGTGATAGTATAGAAGAGGAAGCAATTGTCTGAAATCTGTGTTGTGGCTATATAGCCTGACAAAACATGTTAAAAACATTGTCGATCTCTGACTCTGTGGCATTATGTCTGTAAATTCTTCATTCATAATTCTTTTACTTTGCCACCTCCTCCTTTTCTAGCTTAGGACAGCATAGTGGCTTACTACATCATACTGCTCTTGGTTGCTTGTGCTCCCGCAACCTCCTGGATGATGCCAGAGGCGTGATAGCACAGCAGCATCATATCCTTCCTTAGATGTACTCTGCCTAGATGTATGCATGCTATGTATTTCCTAACTGACTCTCTTTTCAGAGTGGGTCTGCCCGAAAAGATCTGACAATCATAGTATTTAGGTGGTACTGCATAACTATATTCTCATGTGGTCTTCCCAGTTTTTTTCTCTGTTCCCCTAGACATTTTTCCTTTGTACTTTTTGAGGACAAGTGGCGCGAGGGCAGTTTTTTTTCTCATTTAGGAATCCATTTACTGTCATGTATTGGATGCACAGAAAGACTTTTACTTCTTCATCTGAATTGACTAGACTTGGTTCTTTGCATGCTTTCAAAAGAGTGAATTGAGCAGTAATGCCAGAGGAATAGTGGATGTTATATCTGTGTAAGACAAGTTAACAAGAGGAAAGAATTAGGCTTGGTACTTTGAAGGAAAAAGAAAAGTTTTACATAGACCAAAACCCTTCCTTTGGCTTAAAGGAAAATAAGCAGCAAAATTGAAGGAGCATAAGGAATAGTTAATACAGAAAACAAGAAGTACCTCTAAATGTTTCTCAAGTTCTACATAAACCCCTTACTTTGCCTTTCTTTTACTCAAGGCAAGGAAGAGTCCTATTCTTGAGGGAAGATCAATAGGGCAATTCAGAGAACCACTGGTAATTGCATAGCTGTGCAATTATTAGTCATAGTAAAGTAGACAGAAAATGCTGTCTTGAAAATTAAAACAAAAAAAAAGGATAAAGTCCTGTTTATCCTTCACTTATTCCTATTTATCCTTTAGGATAAATTCTGACTGAGAGCACTGAATGTTTCTTGTCTCTATGAATTTTTGTTCTGCTTTAGTCTCCTTGAGTTTTGAGCCTTTTTCCCCATGGATATATGGTAGAACATTGATGAAAGCAAAATGCGTAAAAGTTGCTGTACCATTACCATATTGTCAGAAAATAAGAAGTCACAGCATCTCGGTGGGAGAATCTAGTTTCTTTAATCATGGAGAATGGGTCGTCCAGCCTGGAGGTCCTGGGCTTGGTTACAATACTCTTGAGGATAGTTGCTCTATGTGACACTGATGCAAGGAGTGAATTTACTTCAGGAACAGAGCTGTAATATGTAGCTCTGAGCCTCTCTGTTTTCAGCAGCCTGCATAAGAGTGTTGAGTTATAATTTGGTAGTGGTTCCCCTGCTTCTGAAGTCAGGGAGGAAAGCTAATACTAACAAAAAAAAAATAAAAATAGAAGAGAGTGCGGTGTGGTGTGGTGCGGTATTAATTCTCTGGTCTTCCATAGCCAGGGCTTCAGTAGCACAGAAGAGTGAATGTATTTTTCTTTCAGTCTTTTTACAAGTCACATGAAATACAAACATTCCAAAAACTAATAAATCAGATTTATTATCTTCTTGTATCACCATCTAGAGCTTGGCACAGTGTGACATTATTCCTGGCATCCCTTCCTTCCCCATAGGTTTCACAGAATCACAGAACGGTCAGGGTTGGAAGGGACCTCTGGAGTTCGTCTAGTCCAACCCCCAAGTTCATCAGTTTGTTTTTTGTCCTCCTGACAAAGAAGTGTCTTTATGGTATGGGCATGCTTTTATTTTAAACTACTTTGAACCTTGTGGCATATGCTTGGACTTCAGAGATTTGTATTTTCTTTTAATTGACTTTTGTGTCTGTCCCAAACTGTGTGCTCCTGTCCTACGCTCTGTAGAGAGAATAATGATACTTAGTCTCTTTTGTGTTCTTTTTTTCTTTTTTTGAGCAATTTGAAGTCCATAGATACTAAATACTTTGTTAGTGCTGCTTGTCACAAAGTAAAACTTTGGCACAGGGGACAGGGCAGAAATTAGGAAGTAATTTCACGAGCTGAAGTTTGGCTTTCTTGCTCCCACTTTCCTTAGTTCATTGGTCATTTGCCAGTAGTTTGTAACACAGACTGTGGACTGTACATGTTGTCTGCAGAGAAAGTCACAAATATAAAGCCGAGCAATCATTAGTGCCTCTTGCTGGCTGCGCTGGCATGGTAACGCGGTTCTCAACTGTAATATTGCTGCAGCCTTCATGGCCTTTCATGAGGGTTGTACCTATTTTGCAGCCTTGAGGGAGGATGCTTGTGTATGAGAATGAAAAATGCTGCCTTTACCTGTGAAGCTTGTATTGTTAGATTATACGGTTGCATGCTATTTCTGCCTAGAGGACTTCAACTTTTGCTATTTTACAGGACAGACCGCGGCAAACCGGGACTGGACCAGAACTCTTGCAGCACTGTTTTCTGTTGCTGACCATGAAGGCAATGAGAATTGAGGTGGGAAAATGCAAGCGAGGAAAAAGGACTATAGCCAGTGAGTGTCCACCCTGGGAACCAGCTTTTGCAGCAGTTTCTGTCCCGCTGTTTTGTGCGAAGCGGGTCTGGTTGCTTGCGGTGGCCGGTGGTGTGAGTGGCGTGAGCAGGACCCGCTGTCCAAAACGGTCCCGCAGCTCTCCCCGTCAGCGACAGGTGAAATGCTCATAAACCACTACGTACTCCTAAATATACCTTCAGCATTACAATATAGACACTTCAAAAAAGGGAATTACGTCTCGTAGGGTAAGCCGTTTCAGCCCGGGTTGTGAGAGGAGCGGGGTTCCGAGCAGGCGCTACACGCCTTGTGCAGAGATGCCCCGGAGCTCGGCGGGGCCGGGCCTGGCCGGGCCGGTCCCCGGCGGGGGCGGGGCGGG